AGGGGCGAAATGACCCAAAGGTAGGCTTCTGTTCGCTAAGGGGGGAAAACAAAGCCATTCTATTGCAAGATACAGATCAAAGGTTAAAAGGCAAATTATCCTACACTTAGAGAATAGAAACGTAGTAATTCTCTATCCTCCATATGGCCCATCGGCAGGCGTGATGTCAGCACACGTTGCACTGGCCATGGGGGAGGGAGGGAACATCATGGAAAAACCACTGACTAAAAAAGACACGCAAAACCCCCTTTCCCCTTTTCAGTCGAATCGTTTGGCATCTCACAGTGTGGTCCAGATTTAGACTCGAACCACCCAAGAAGAGCCTCCTGCTGTCTATGTCAAGCGCTCCCTCCACGATGCCTCCGGCAGGGCGCTGCGGCAGGGCTAGCTAATTTTAAATCTGGCATGAGTAATACGGTCAAACCTAGTTAGTATGCGCGGAGGTGGAGGTGGCGGGCCGCGGAGCGAGAGGATGTGTGATGTCACAGCACGAGCCGTCCCTGGTTGTCCCGTGGTTGGATGAACTTAGTGCATAGATCCGCGTTCCTGGCCCCGGCCGCTGGAGCCCGGGCCTGGGCCCTCACTTCTGCTGGGCCGCCTGGAAGGCCTTCAGCTCCACCTGGTACCACTCGGGGGCTTCGGGCCCGCTCTTCCCCGGGGGGCTGTGGTCGTAGCCGTAGGCCACGGTGAGCTCCTCGTCGGCCTCCACGGCGCGGAGCGATCGGATGCACTTGATGGGCCCGAAGCGGGGGTGGACAAACCTAGACGCCAAGACGTGCACAGTCATTCCCGGGCAGGTTGGGAGCCAGGGGTGGAGGGGTGGGGGCAGGTGTGGAATCTCCCATGTGCCCCCCCCCCTCCCCCCCCGTGCCCCGGACACTACATGTAAATCCTCAACGTGGGGTCCCCAGATCCCCCCGGAGGCGCTAACAGGGGAACCTCAGCCCCAGGGTGACCTGCTGGGTGGGCACCTGCATCTGATGTCTCATGCATTTACTGTCTCCTTTTGAACAAAGGCATGCACGGAGACATCAAAGAAGTTTCCACGTGATTGCCAGCCACGTGAAAGTCTCCGAAGCACGGCTCTAGCCTCCTTTTTGAGCATATTTGGCATCTGTACTTACCGTGTTTCCCCGAAAATAAGACATCCTCTGAAAATAAGACCTAGCGCATGGAAAGATAAGACATCCCCTGAAAATAAGACCTAGCGCAACCTTGGGAGAAAAAAAAAATTAATATAAGACACTGTCTTATTTTTGGGGAAACAGGGTATCAACCAGCTATCACGGTCAACAACAAAAGCCTGTCCTTAATGAGGAATGGAACCCAGCCCAGCCTGCCCGCATTTCAGCTCAGCTGGCCTGTGCCATCGGATTGCCTGGCTGTACCTGGCGGAGGGCAGAGGCGGACCAGGGCGTTGGGAGGTATAAGAAAGAGCCCTGTGGATGTCCCAAAGCGAAAAGCTCTGTACTCTCTACCCTCTACAGACAGGGTATTCTTTTCTTGCAAACGTGTAGATGAAGGTTTCTCTGAGCAGGAAAGCTAGCCTCCCTGCCCCCCTGTGTCACAGCTCCCCGGAGAGCCTGCTGCAAGGGGCAGCCTCTCACCCCAGACCCAGAAACAGCAGCAGGATTCGCCCTATCACATTCCTCTGCCAAGGCTCCCTCCCCAGCTCCCCTGCAGCTCTCTTCAGGACAGGAAATAACTAGGCAATGGACTCCCCTCACAGCTGCCGAAACCCAAAATGGGTGTGTGTGTGAGGCACAGCCAGAAGGAACTGAGCTGGTTTTTTTTTTTTTTTTTTTTTTTTATATCTTATTTATTTTGTACAGAGAGGAAGGGAGAGAGATAGAGAGTCAGAAACATCGATGAGAGAGAGTCATCTATCAGCTGCCTCTTGCACACCCCCTACTGGGGATATGCCCGCAACCAAGGTACATGCCCTTGACCAGAATCGAACCTGGGACCTTTCAGTTCCCAAGCCAACGCTCTATCCATTGAGCCAAACCGGTTTCGGCTGAGCTGTATTTTGATATGCACCTAGTCAAAGTCTCATGCATTTACGATCGCACTCTGAGCAAAGGGCATGGAGACATTGAAGGGGAAATTCCCAGGCCTAAAGTCAGACGGGCACATGGGAATGGAGTGTGGCTGTGGCTTAAGGACATCATGTGTGTGGTTAAAAGGACCAATGTCAACCTCATTCGAGGGGTCCCCTACTTTTACCCAACTCAGGGGTCACGTTTTCCGAAAAGCATGTGAGTCCTGGTTCCACAAATGATCATGCCTCCTCTTGGATAGCTCCGCTCTATCTCTGAATCTCACTTTCCTCAAGTGCAGTAATCCTTATCTGACGTGAGTGGTTGTTATGACAAAATAGGGTCACATTTAAAGCACCTCACAGTGCCTGGCACAAAGTGAAGACTCAACTAATATTAGTTACTATGGTGAGCCCGTGCACGTGTGAGAGTGTGTACGTGTGAGAGCCTGTGCAAGTGCGTAAGAATCTGTGCACATGTGAGAGCATGTGATGTGTATAAGTATGTGCACATGCACAGAATTCTCAGCTTGTGCTCCCTCACAGAGCAGAACTCTGGATAAGGGATTCAGGAACTCCTTATTAAAATCACAACTCTGTCTCAAATTAAGATATTAAAAAAAATAATACTCCTGAAATGGAGTTCTAGTTAATGTTCTGGTGCAGGAAAACAATCCTGTGAGCAGCTCTGACTTCTCTTGCAATCCTCTTTTCACGTTCCTGCTCACCATCCTGTTTTTAGAGTAGAACATGGACAGACTGAAAAGAAAGAACGCAGCTTCAGCTGCTGGCTCTGCAGGGTGGTACTAAAACACAACGGACAAGAACTCTCAACCCCGCTGACCCAGAGGCCTGCGGCTCCTGTCCAGTTCCTGGGGGGACCCGCTGACCTAGAGAAAGTGGCGGTCAATGTTAGCTGCACAAGGCCGCTTGGCGCCTTCTCAACACGTCACCTGTACTTACAGCTAGAAATGTAGTTCTTGACTGTCCCTTGGGCATTGTGTACCCGACGACGGGTAAACAGCTTACAGGGGCGTCGTTTTGTTTGTGTCGAGGGTGCATACCAATGCCACCGAGTTTAGAAACAAATGAATGCCATGGCTTGGTATTGGACTTTTATATTTGATTGTTCTTCAGGGAGTCTCCCTATTGCCCCAAATAACTAATTGGTCACATCGGGCTTGAAAAAAATAACCCTGAAGAATACAGGGACTTGATTTTTGTACAAATGGTTCCTTCTCTTGTCTCCTGTTCCCTCTTCTTTTTGGTAAAAAAATAAAATAAAAAAATGGTCTTTGCAGTGAAATCACAGAACTGATTTGTTTTAAAACAGGAGTCTAAGTAGCATTTATTATCGTTGTTACCGCTGCTTTAAAGGGTTGTGGTTAAGTCGTGTGCAGCTTGGAACGATGCTTTGGCCTCATTCACATTGGCCGCGAGAGCCTTGGGGTTAATACGAGTGTCAGTTTCATTTCACATGATACACACGTCTCCGTTTCTCTCTGGCCTTTAAGAAGCTGTAGCTCCAGTGCTTGTTGCTGACTGCCAAAGAAAGCAAGCCCCAGCCAGAACGATGTTGAAGCCGTCACGGGGATGCAAGAAGGGACGGTCAAATCCTGGCAGTTTTCCTGCAGGTTAAGTGCACGTGATCTGACCCCGCTAATGTTAACCAGCTGGAGGGCCGAGGGACTGCCTGCAAGCCACAGCGGAGCGGGAAGGCGGCGCGGAGGGCACCCGGGCTCCCGGGAAGAGCTGCCATTCTCACGCGGAGCCAAGGACAGCAGGGACCACGGTACAGAGAATCCCAACTGTTCCCGTTAAGGAACAGTCTGAGATCCTTGACTCCGGGAAGAGAACATTCAGGGGGAACATAAAACCACTGAGATATTTGCAAGGCTACCATGTGGAGGAGCAATGGATATGGTGCACCAGAGAGGAAGGGAGCCGGTTAGGGCCAAGAGCTGGATGTTACAGGGAAACCTACGGTACTTGGGCTCAAAAAATAAAATGAAATTCACTCAGAGAGCCCCAAAACTAACTTCAGAATATCTGTCTGTCCGGACAGCCACCTTGTGGAGAACAGCAAGTTCCCCGCCCACGGAGGTTTCCAGGAAGAGGCTCACTGAGCCCGTGGAAGAAGAGAGTCAACCCCAAAGAGGAAGGTAGGATTATTTGATTTAAAAACAACATCTTTGTTGAGATATAATTCACACATCATAAAGTTCACCCATTGACAGTATACAGTGCAGTGGTTTGTAGTGGAGCACCCATCCCCACTATCAAATTTTTAAAAAGCTCCCCCATTTTCACTAGGCATCAACCCCCCAATGCTCCCCACTGCCCCCAGCTCCGGGCAACCACTGACCTGCATCTGGTCTCTAGGAATTTGGCCGTAAATGGTCTTTTGTGACTGGCTTCTTGCACTTGGCATAATGTTTTCAAGGCTTGTCCATGTCATAGCATTTGTTAATATTTCATTCTTCTTTATTGTCAATTAATAGGGACTCTGATTTTATAGGTCTTTTACACTTAGACCTCATGCGTGCCCTATGCTTAGGAGAGAGTCTCTTCTCCTTCCTTTCATATCATGAAAGCATTCCCTACTGCCCATTATGCAGAGTAATTTCAATTTTTTTACTATTCAAATAACACTCTCCTCAATTTTCCAGAAAGAGACAATGAAGGGCAGAAAAGCTACTGTGAAACAGCAACTACTAAACACAGTATTTCCGAAGCCTTCCTCCTCTTCAAAGCACTTTCCATTTCTTTGCCAGCCCAGGCCAAAGGGCAATGTTGTCTAGATTCTGAGTTTCAAGTCAGAACCGTGAGGCCCTGGGCAGGGAACCCTCGGGTATTCTGAGGGCGCAGTCTGCTCTGGGGCTGGGCACACCTTTGACATGCTTCCCCCTCCCTGCCTCAAGGCCCGAGGCTCAGAGCGCCAGCAGCCAGGCGTCATACTCACATGTCGTAGATGCAGTTTGGCGTGAAGGAGTGGTTTGCCTTGTGTCCCAAGGAGGCACAGTACTTGGACATGTGGTTGTAGGGCTCAGGCACGTCGATGACGGTCTCTTCATCGAGGGAGAGGGTGTTCCCATTGAGGGCCCAGTCCCTGCTGTCAACCTGCAAACACCGGGCGAGCGAGCCTTAGAGAGGACCTTTCTCCCCAACGCTCAGAGGAGGTCAGAGATAGTGACTCACTGGCCATGAAACTTCCTGGTTTGAGTGCCAGGGACCTGAAAAGAGCCTAAGGTAGTGGTCGGCAAACTGCGGCTCGCGAGCCACATGCGGCTTTTTGGCCCATTGAGTGTGGCTCTTCCACAAAATACCACATACGGGCACGCACGGACAGTGCGATTGAAACTTCGTGGCCCACGCGCAGTTTTCGGCCTGGGCGAGTCTATTTTGAAGAAGTGGTGTTAGTACACTCAAGGTGCCAAAGAGCTGTATGTTTGCCGACCACTGGCCTAAGGCATTGCTCTGCTGCTGATAGTGCAGAAGGCATAGGTGGCTATCACCGGGGGAGATAAGGAAAAAGCATATTACTTATGCTTTTTCCTTATCTTCTATGAAAAGAAGGATGGAAAGTCCCTTACAAAGACACACGAATATGACCAGGTGTTCCGAGGTTGTTTATTTTTTCACGTCATGCTGAAACCTGTTACCTCAGAAGCCCACGAGCAACTAACTCACATTTTTTACACATCCATGTGTTTTTTTAAGTAGCCCAAACAAAGCAGAGTCAGAGCCACTTGAAGCCTACTTTCAAAGGGGCACCTCTCCACCATAAGAACTTAAGGCCTGTACCAGCTGTGCTAAGAGCATTACACCTTTTGTCTTTAGGGAGATACTTAAGAAAGTTAATTGTAAAGGGAAGAAATAAGAACAAGCAGCCAGGACCGGTTTGGCTCAATGGATAAAGCGTCGGCTTGGGGACTGAAGGGTCCCGGGTTCGATTCCGGTCAAGGGCATGTACCTTGGTTGCGGGCATATCCCCGGTGGGGGGTATGCAAGAGGCGGCTCTCTCTCATCGATGTTTCTAACTCTCTATCTCTCTCCCTTCCTCTCTGTACAAAATCAATAAAAAAAATATATATATTTTTAAAAAAGAACAAGCAATATGAAATCTGGGAAATATATCAAAGATTGTGTCTTAAAGGAGGTGATTCAACTTTTTAACTTTTTATTTTTAAAATTTTTGGGGGGCGGGGGCAGTAGGACCCTTCCTGGCTAGATGTAGGTGACTGTATGGCTTCTGCACAAACAGAAGTAGAGGGTCCTCTTACAAGCACCCTACCCAAGGTCAGAAATTAGATTCTGACAGAGTTCAAGCGGACCGCAATTTTTCAGACACTGGGTATATATAGTCCAGGTCGAAGCAATTACTATCTTATTGACGCATCCCACTTTCTATAAAATAGTTGTGGAAATAAAAAAAAAATAACTTTAAGGCTCAATATAAGGAAGAAAATATCTGCTGTATCTGAAAGTTTGTGTTGTCCCCCCAAATTCATTGTAGCCTAATCCCCAACGTGATGGTATTAGGAGGTAATTAGGTCATGAGGGCAGGCTGAACCTTCATGAATGGGATTGGGTCCTTACACAAGACCTCAGAGAGCTTCATCATCCTTCCTGCCATGTGAGGTTACAGAAAAAAGAGGGCCTTCTAGGAACCAGGAAGTGTGTGGAGAGTGGCCACAGTGTTTGGACAGATTCAAGCCTCAGACTGATGAGAGGAAACAGTCCTCTCATGGCCACGTGCAAGTCCCAGATTGGAGGGCAGAGCCCTCTCAGCACAATTATAGCCAACAGCTGTTGTTGTAAGCTTGAACCTATGGTCCGAACTTGTGGCCCCATGTGTCTGAGTGATGTGGGCTTGATAGAATTCAGGTGTATGTAGTTGAATAGGATCGAAACCCACGAGAATGTTGTAAACATCTCGACCACACCCTTATTTTGCTTTGTGGAATCTGGTTATAAAGACACGGCTTATAGTCTGTGGTGCTGTTGCTAGTTCTTCATCAGAGAGGCCTTCGTAAGAGAGGACAGCATCCCACCAAGAACCCAGCTTTCATTCTCTTGTCTGTCTTTTCTTGATCCTTCACTGCCCCGACTCAGGCTCACTGAACCTGGCTGAGCTGGCAGGCCCTGGGGCTGAGCAGGCCATGGTCGTGCCGGCTCGCCACAGAGATGGGCTCACACCTTGATCTTGGACTCTGGAGCCTCCAGAACTCTTGAGAAATAAATGTACGTTGTTGATAAGCCACCCAGTCTACTGTATTTTTGCTACAGCAGTCCAAAGACTGCTATTAAGACAATATCCAATCAATTTTACAAAAAAGCCTGTTTGTTCCTTTGTATTTCTAGTGAATACTACAGTTAAAGGGATTAATGAAAAAATTAACGGTGTTCAAAACAAAGCATGTGAACCAATCAAGTTGATTTTGCACTTGTACCTCACTCACCTCCTGGTGTGTAATGCGGACTCCATTATAAAAAGACATAACAGTATTCGGTCCCACTGCGACCTTTGAAAACAGTCCTTCCCCAGCGCTGGAAATGAGAGATTCGGCAACATAAACCCTAAAGAGCAAAAAAGAGGCAAATAATGATTCTTTAAGTTTGATATGTCTTTGATGGACTCCTTACATCAGCCACCAGAATATCATATGGCTACTGAATCCAGGACACCAGTTCATAATAATCCAATGAGGAAGGAAGAAAGGAAACGTTAAACCACAATATTCTGGCTTTGGAAATTGAAGAACTGGTACTTATGTATCATCTCTTAAGAATGGTGCTTAAAATTTGCTCTCTGATAAGAGGGTTGTTATGATATATTCATAAAATGAGTCAGTGCTTGATATAAGTTTAAAAATTTAAAAAATGTTTTTAGTTAAGGTCAATTTTCACTCTCTCCCTGGACAAAAAACCCCCCCACACAAAACAAAACATTTTTCTAGGCTAATTAAAGCTATACCCAAGTTTGTCAGAGCTAAATAGGAGGGAAAGGCTTTTAATTAAGTCCCTGGATGAATGTTTTATACGGAAGCGTGACAAACAGTTAATAAAATCTACCCACGGCTCAGCCATGACCTGCTTTCTGCAGGAACGTGGGCGGAAGTGACTGCACGCCACTCCTCAGGTGTGAGGGAGCACGGCAAGTTCCTGCCAGCCTCTTCGGGAGTTTCCTCCGTCTTCTCAGGGAGAAGATGGCCAGGGGGCTGCGGCTCCTCCAGCCTGCGTCTTGGAATGCAGACACGTGAAACAGACCTGAGCCCAGCTGGAAGCCTGGAGTCCAGCCTAGTCTGTCTGAGCTGAGCTGAACTCAGTTAAGAGTGGCTGAACCTCAGCCAACCTACAGATCCATGAGTGCAAAATAGAAGGTTTACATCTATAAACCATTGATAGTTTTGAGGATATCAGTAGGTGGCAGCATCACAATGACAGTAATACAATAGACTGATACATACGGTAATATACTGTTGTATTTCCGAGCTAACAAGAGACCAAACCCTTCCCTTTAAAAAAATTTTTTTTTAAATTAAATTATTATCTTTGTACATATAACATTGCCCACCCCCAAAACCGTTCCCTTTGTAAATGGGCCCGAGCCTCATGTCAAGAAAGAGATCATTCATTCATTATGGCATTGTGGGGTCAGCCCTGTCAGTTAAACCAGGGAAAAGGCCTATATCTGAGAGATGGGAACAGAATAGAAACAGAATGGAAACATGCTTTCTAAGCCAGGTTTACAAAAAGGGAGGCCAAGAGAGAACCACCTGCAGAAGGCGCTCTTACTCATCCCCTGGCCAGTTGCTTAGGGAGTACACACCCCAAGCGGGGCACCGGAAGCCATACCAAGAATTATAAACTGAGTTTAGAAAAGACAGGAAATGGAGCAGGACTTCACACTCTGCGAGTGAGCTTATAGACTGGACACCTGTAATTTATAGGCTGGAATGCTTTTATGCTTCTTACATTTTCTTTGTTTTGCTCCTGTCCTCCCTTAGTGAATAAATTGTGTTGTGTTCCATACCCTCTCAGCTGGGCTGAGTAGAAAAGAAGGCACCTGGTCCTGGGCCAAGCTAAGCTTTAAAGAGTGTGAAATGCTCTCTGAGGGGCCAGCATGAGGCTGCAGCACAAATGGTGACACCAGAGCCGGGAGAAAGGGGACACCTGGGCAGGGCAGGGCTGGCTACCGGGCCCATGCACCTCTCTATGGAGAGGCTTCATTCCAGGACAGACACCGGGGCTGTTCTGGGCTTTATGGGCGGAGATATCTCTTACAAGGACAGATTCTGAATGAGAATAAAACACTATTCCTCAGAACGTATGAACTTTTTTTTTTTTTTTTTTTTTTTTCTGGTCAGGAACTTGGTCTGAGCAGAGAGCCACAGAGGATCATGGGTTCCCATCACTAGGGCTATTTCACCTCCCACAGACAGGGCCATTAAAACCACAAGGAGAAAATTACCTCTCTGATTCATACGGGTCTGGAAGAAGAGCATTAGTAGAAATGCAAGATGAAGTTGACTTGTCGAAGTGGTACACAGAACCTAAAACGCAAACAAAAATCTCAGGCGAGGTACAGTCAGGGGAAAGCATGGAAAACATTTCTCTCTATCCATGGGACTGGAATGAATTAGATAACAAGAAATGCTATTCAAGTTATACCAACTAGAATGACATTCTTCAACATAAGTGGACAGTTTTTAGATTTGCTCTTAAGTTTTAGTTTCAGATGTGGATAAATAGCCATCACAGGTATCTCTTAAATGCTATTTCTTTCTTTTGAAATTTCTTTATTAAAATAGTTTAAAAAGTACTTGTGTAATGAAAATATCTTAATAAAGAAAATGCTTTGTTGTGAAATTTTGAGAACTCTCTGGTCAGATCAGATTGGATAATGGTTTTAAAAATTTCCTGTGGTTTGCTTCATGCTAGACAGTCTGTAGAATCCAGCCGCCCAGCCCTGGCAATTGCCTCCTTCACTAAAAATAAACATTTGGCTTCAACAGAATTAAGAAGAGCAGAATTAAGAAGCATTTACAAAGTCATCCTATTTCTATTAAAGTGGTTCAGAAGCCAATTAGTAATTTATCCCAGAAACTATGGTCCTAGAATTAACAGCCGTCCTAGAACTAACATTGGTTCCCTGCAAAGGATTAGCCTCAGAGGATCCTCCCGGAGCCCAGCGAAGACAGATGATGCTCCAAAGGCTAATGAGGAAGGAAACAATTTTTGGAACGAGAGGCCTTGCTCCTGCAAAGTCAATTATGTTAGGCACCAAGGCATCACAAATAATTCCATTAGACAGTTCTTTAGTAGTTCCCTGTGGTCATCAGGTCCGCTTTCTGTGTGTATGTGTGTGTGTGTATTAAATATAATCAAAACCCAAATTAATGTCTCAAGCTAAAAGTTAGAAAACAATCCAGTCAGTCAATGTCTAACCAGGAAGCAGACTGCTTGCATATTTCGAAGAAAGGGATGAATTCAGGGAAATGGTTACACGGAGGATGGAAGAGCTGAGAAGCCCGACAGGGCAGTGTGGAGCTCAGAAACTGCCGAGAGCAGGAAGCCACAACACTAAGGCAGAGGAGCGAGCGCAGAGCTGGGCTTCCTGGAGCTCTAGAGCTGGGGCTTCTGGAGCTAGAACCCAAGGAAGCTAGAACCCTGGGGACCTTCCTGGTGAGAGATGGAGCCAGGAGGCAGGACACTGCTGGAGGCTCTGCTGGAAAGAGGGGCTTCCTCTTGCTCCCTTCCCTCTTGTGTCCCCAGCCGGTGACTCTTTGCAGCCAAACCCAGACAGAAGCCAGAGGCACAGGGGCCTGGGAAATCCAGCCTGCGAGGGGCAGACCCCTGTGGGAGAAGCAGGGCAGGGGAAGGTCGAGGCAGGTATCTGAGAGCACACATCTGTGAGCGTGCTGGTAACGGACCAGCACATACTTCATTAAAGGAAGTTAGTTTTAAAAAACAACAACAACCCGAAACCAGTATGGCTCAGTAGATAGAGCGTCAGTCTTTGGACTGAAAGGTCCCAGGTTCGATTCTGGTGAAGGGCATGTACGTTGGTTGCGGGCACATTCCCCAGTGGGGAGTGTGCAGAAGGCAGCTGGTGGATGTTTCTCTCTCATCGACGTCTCTAACTCTCTCTCCCTTTTTCCCTTCCTCTCTGTAAAAAATCAATAAAATATATTAAAAAAATAAAAAATAAAAAACAACAAAAAACCCAACCACTTTTCTGTGGCATATGTGTTCCATGTGCAAATATCCTCCCATAAATTTCCATTTCCTTTCCTTGGACTAACACTTTTATCACAAACGGACCAAGCGCAACCACATATGAAACAGTGTTAGGGGCTGTGCCGATACAGACCGGAGTAACATCTCTTCCCGCTTCAAGGACAGGATGCCACCTTTTCCAACCCTGGCTATCCCTTCCTCTGCTCCCCTAGGCAGGTTGATGCTCCAGGCAGACAAAGGCATCCTTTACTGTTCCTGCTTTCCTCCATAGTTCACACTAGGACCTCTGACTAAGCCATTCATTCACTTGACAAACATTAATTCTAAGAAATGAGCCAAGACTTAAAGCTCAAACAGGAAATAGCCAGGGACAGGGATTCCTATGTGCAGAGGAGAAGAGATGGAGAGAAGTTCCAGCCAAGGGCATAATGAGGAAATCAGCAAGAACCCTTGAAGCCCCAGAAGCAGTCGGTGGTTACAGAAACCTAAAGAGGAAAGGGATGGCGGTGAGGTAAGGGGGGAGGCAGACCAGAAGTTTCAGGTGAGAGATGTGCATTCCATTTAACTTGTCCTCCCCCAACTGCTGGGCCAGGTGGCCACTAGACCCTGTAAGACAAGATCCAAGACCTATGGGCTAGTCAGCAGTTCAGCAAAGGTAGCTGAATGAGGCAGTGAGGAGAAACACAGTGGCAGAACACAACATCAGAGACCTGTGCAAAGCAGCTCTGGTCCTGACCCTCCTGATACCCAAACTGTTCAACAGTCCTTTAAAGAGCTGAGGCCTGCAGACCTTGCCAGCAAACACTACGCTCCTCCCCTCCCCCTTCTTCCTCTTCTTCCTCCCCCACCCCCTCCTCTTCTGTCCCCCCTTTCTTTCCTTCCTCTCCCACCCCTCCTCCTTTTTTTGGCCTTAAGTTAGTTTGAAGAGGGTGTTTGTTACTTGCAACCACGAGTTCTAAGAAAAACCATCATTCCCCTGAGAATGATCACTCTTGCTTCCCAAAATCTGTTTCTTACTAATACCAAGAAGAATGTAATAACAAGACCTTTCATTATGATGTGTTATGGTAGGTGCCAAGATCTGCATTTTATAATGAAGAATCAGGTTCTGAAAAGACAAATGAAAATAACTTCCCCAAGAATATGATACAGTAAATGTTGGAGCTAAGACTCAAATTAGGTGACATTTCCCCATTGTCATTATTTATTATTTTATAAAAATTTTAAATTATATTTATTGGGATAATATTGTTTAATAACTTTATGTAAGTTGCAGGATTACACTCATGAACCAAAGTCTAGTCTCCTTCCATCACCATGTAATTGATCCCCTTTACCCTCTTGGCAAATAAAGTGACTCTTAAGTTCAAGGATCTTGCCACTAAAAATGCTTCCACTTCTGAGGTTTTAAAATTTGCATCACCAATTGGGTGAGATCCTCTTGCCCAAGTCTCCTCATTTTTAAACATTAGGATGCTGTCTCCTTTCAGAACATATGTGAAGAGCAGATATTAGAATCTGAAGTTTAAAGACTTCTGTTTCACTTAAAAGTGTTTCTGATTTTGGAATGATTTAAATGTACAGAAAAGTTGCAGATATGCACAGTGAGTTCCCAATGCCCTTCACTGTTTCTCTTAATGTTAGTTTATTATTTTTTAATTTTTATTTACAGAGAGGAAGAAAGAGGAATAGAAAGTCAGAAACATCGATGAGAGAGAAACATTGATCAGCTGCCTCCTGCACACCCCCCACCTGCGATGTGCCCGTAACCAAGGCACATGCCCTTGACCGAAATCGAACCCAGGACCCCCCAGTCCACAGGCCAATGTTCTATCCACTGAGCCAAACCAGTTTTGGCCTAATGTTGGTGGTTTTTTTTTTTTTTTTATGTTACCCTGTACAAATTTGTCCACATTAAAACCCCAACATAGCTACATTATTATTAACTAAACTCCAGGCTTTACTCATATTTGACCAGTTTTTCCACTAATGTCCTTTTTCTGTACCAAGATCCAATCCAGACGCCTCCCTCCCCCAATTACATTCAGATGGCCTTAATTTTAAATTAAAATAAAAAACAAAGATTAAAAAAGGATACATTTAAGACAACCCAAGTTGGACCTCAATGCAAAATGCTAGAATTTCTATGTTTGACAACCTTCCTTTAGAGAGTCTCTTCAGATCATAAATACCTAACGATTATTGAGGCCTACTAATGCCCACATTTATTATCTTGTCTGCTTTTTTCTTCTTATAACTTAACGTGGATTGGAGATACACAGTTTGAGGGGACCAGACAAAGATACAAACTTCTCTCAAACCCGCCCTAACCACCTGCTCTGGCAGTAGAGCAGCCCACGTGGGGCCCATTCAACTTACTTCCAGGCATCAGGTCAAAGTGCGGCCTGCCGTCCTCAGTAGACACCAGGGTAGCCAGTTTTCCTTCCAGCATCTCCCCATCAACGAACTTCCCGTACAGTGCGGTCCTCTCGTCCGGGTACACATAGGCTATCTTCTCTCCAGTCATCTCCCCGTCTTCGTTTACCTCCCCTACCAGGCTGCCTCCATCCTGACGGGAGAAACCAAAATCCAGAAAAATTACATAGAGTATTGATCCAGGGGACATGCGTTTCAGGAAATTTCTCTTGGGCTCTCCCATGGTGAATAGCATGAATATGGACCCTAGCAGACTGAGGATTCAGAGCTCTTCACGGGATTGAGAAACACATCCAGCCCCACAGAACAAACAGCACAAATCCGAGTCAGAGCGGCAGAGGCTGAGGCACCTGATGATCCGGGACAAGTTACGGATACTGCATCTTGGTCTGTTATCTAAGAACCAAATATGTCCTGTTTGCAATATTAGTGACAAGCAATAAAAGGGCATAGAACTCCGTGCTGCTTGGGGCCATGATCAGATGTGGTGAGTCTTACCTACTGTCCATACCATCTCCTCAATGTTGAGTTTCAGATATTTCTGGTCAAGTAAGAACATCTTTAGTTCAGCCGAAACAGGTTTGGCTCAATGGATAGAGCGTTGGCTTGGGGACTGGAGGACCCGGGTTCGATTCCGGTCAAGGGCATGTACCTTGGTTGCGGGCATATCCCCAGTAGGGGGTGTGCAAGAGGCAGCTGGTCGATGACTCTCTCTCATCAATGTTTCTAACTCTCTATCTCTCTCCCTTCCTCTCTGTACAAAATCAATAAAATATATTAAAAAAAAAAAGAACATCTTTAGTTCAAATGTACTTAAGAATTAATTTAGTGTGCATGAGTGAAGAGCTGGCTGCATTTTCTAAGAGACAAGTAAAGGGACTTATGGATAACTTTTGGAGTTAGAAGAAACAGTGAAAAAAGATCAACGGAATTGCCCTCGCTTCCCCATCACTGCCTTCTCCCCATTCTTCTCTATTTACGGTTCCCGGGGGCCTCCTTCTCCGAGAGCAGCCAGCTGCGTGTCCTCTTTAACCGCCACTTACTCCCTTCTTAAGGGTCATTAAATGTTTTAGGGCGGAGGCTGTCAGAATTCTACATCCTGGGAAGTACCAGGGACACAGTAGGTGATCCATAAATACTTTTAGAATTGAACTGGGATGCCCCCAAAATCTAAAAAAAATAAACTAAAGGTGCAAGAGATTTTTATTTAATTTATGTTTTTGCCACTCAGAAGGTCCTGATGGTGTGACTTTGAAAATCTAAGATCTTGGTGGGTTTGATATAACATCAGTAATGCCAGGATATGGGTTATGTCCCCAGTGCGGAGGTTCCAGGGCTCAGTGATGTAGGGTGACTTCTGCGTGACCCCCATGCTGCTCTTCCTGAGAGCCAGAGGGAGGAAGTTGTGACGGGTACATGGTGTACGGTTCCCTGAAGTCTAATTGCTCTTTGGAAAAAAAAGGTTATGAATTAAAAAAACAAAAAACAAAACAAAAAAACGAACCCAGCACTTCCATACAAAGAACAGTGCTTGGAAGCGTTTGTCCCGGATAAAAGGTGCATCAGGGATATAGCATTGCTCTTTCTCCTCCCGAGTCACTTCTTAACAACCCAGCATAACGAGAATGGCACTTTCGGCAAAACCTGTCTTCAGACTTTCAGCGATGACTGAGCTGACGGGGGTTAGGGTGTTTGTGCTCCCAATGGGCCGAAATGAATAAAAGCCAACATTGCTATTTATTCTGTCTTGCGAGGGTCTCACTATTTTTTTTTTTTTTTCCTCTTAAATGCTTTAAGCATCTAGTTTTGGAGGCAAGTGATTTTTTCCCCTGGAATGATAAAGCAGCAATTTTTATTTCCTAAAGGGGTTATGAATTTTTAATTAAAAACCCTGCATCACTCTTCCAAGGTAAAATTTTGAAAGAAAGAAACCGTCCTTAGAGTGAGCTTATAAATACTGCAGGGGGCATCATTGTTTTCTCCTCCCCTTGCTCCTGCTTGGACTCTGTGTCACCAGAACTTTCTCCTCTGCTGTGGCAGGGAGGGTTGCTCAACCCCTCCTCTCTGACACCCTTGGACACCCACATCGCTGCTGGGTGAGGGGTTAACAGCAGCAAGCCCTCCTCCCCTGTGTGAAGCGCCCCAGGCAGGCCCCGCTCCCCAAGGGAAACCTACAGCTTTCTAGCTGCTCTGTCTGCGGCTGATCCACGTGCCCAGTTCAGAGGGTAAGGCAGAAGCCCATACCTCATTGCCAATCCCACGCTGCCATAACAAAGCCCACATCCCTGCCACTTACACCTATTTCTTAGAGCCCAAAGATGGGATTAGCACCCTCCACTGCCAACTGACACCAGAGAGAGAAGAGAGCAAGTGTTGTCAACCAAAAGTTCGTTTGCAAGCTCGTTACTCTCCAGAGCTTCCTTACGAAGGCAGAGTCTTCTCTTGGCATTTAATAAGAGGATAAGGCTAAAACGTAGCTGCACCTTTAGGTTTCAAAATGCAACTGCATGGAGTAAGGTAGGCCTATTCACTTAGTGCAATTTGGATGTCCCAGGGACTTAACTGATCACAGTCACAAGTAAAACGACAGGGAGCAGTAGAACCTGCTAACCCATAGTTTGCGTCTTCCCGGTGCCCATCCACACCCAGGGAAGGGCGGCCCACTTTTCCGGCTTCAAAAATCCTTGTCACATCGGCAGCATGTGAAGCGGGACAGTGTGTCTCTCTACCCAACCCTCTTCCTGTCACTTCCAGGCAGGAGCTAAAGAGCTATTGCAGGTCCCACCAAGAGCGTGTGTAAAGGCTTCAGTAATTATAATTTTTTTTTTTTTTTACATGTTCTATCTTTATGCCCCGTTTCTAGAACACAACTTCTATTTTAAGAACAAAAATCTGTAAGTAGATTTACTGGGACTACTTTTCTTCTTACACATGTAACAGACAACTTGTATGAATATTTTTTAATCATAAGAAGATAGAGTTCAGAGTAAGAAAAAAATGTATTTTGACTGAAGCTCTGGACAAAATAAAACATTAGATAAAATATTTTCTAAGGTCTATTTTCTGAACAATTTTCTAGAAATTCAACAACAACAGATGGGATATTTGAAATGCAAACAACAGATAAGAGTATTCATTCCCAACCAGAGATTTTGCCACATCTTTTTGCGTTAGTAAACTCCAAAAAGATGAGGAATGGCTGGCTTAGTTCTGACATCTGAGCAATGGAATAAAATTAAATGCAACAGCGAAATATTCCACCATCTCTTTCTATACTGTATCAAAGAAATATTTTAAGAAATAATATAGTTTCATCTTTATTCATAACATAACATAACGCAACCAATTTGTCTCAACTTGCTTTAGTAATGATTAATCGCTCTTTTCCAAAAACAATGCTGAAAAGGAATTCCTAGTAGACGGAAGGGCCAACAACCTCAGTCGGAGGGAGTAACAGTGAGAGGACATAGCTCCCACACTCCTGGCTTCGCTCTCAAGTTTCACAGCTCCACAATTTCTGAGGAAGAGAATGCATTTGACTCTTCATTGTGAAGAGACAAAGCTTTGTCTTAAAGCATGCTACTTTCCAGCAAAATGAGCAGTCGCAGGGCTTACTGGGTAATATATCCAGCACACGCCATGCCGAATGTTATCCTTATACTGTCCCTTGAAGATCAGCCTCCCGTCTGTGTCGTACTCCTGGGCCAGACCATTGAGCTCTCCGTCCACATAGGTGCCCTGGAGAACTCCCCCGTCCTCGTAGGTGTAAACGCCCTGGCCCTGCAGGGCATCGTCCACGTAATACCCCTCCAGGGTGCTGTGAGAGAAGGAGAACAAAAGGGATCGTCAGGCCGTGACTCAACTCTCCAAAAAGAAAGGATCATGCTCTGTGTCTGCTCAGGACAAAAAGAAAGGATCACTTCTGAGAACCACGGACCTGTACTCGGCACAACCTCCAGAAGGCTGCTGGACTGCTAGGGAAAACACTGCGAAGGTCTAGCAACAGAGAGGGAGACTGCATTGCCGTTCCTATCACTCCCTTTTCTCTGCTGGAGGAGATGGACAAGAAAGAAGCCACAGGGGAGCCTGAGAACAGGCCTCCTCCGAGTATGTCTCCAAGACCGGATGCCAACTGTTGCCTGGCCATCGCCATTCTGGCCCACGTGTAAGCCGTTCAGGCCTCACTTCCCTCAGGAGTGGTAGACTCAAGGGTCTTGCAGTTGGCTTGTATGTAGTGGTCTCTAATATTACAGATGTGGTTTAGAATGTGTTAATATCTACATGTTTGTTTTAAATTATTAATGTATTATTTGTCAGCGACTGCCATTATGGGTATCCAATCCAAAGAATCCCCTCCCCACCCTCTCTCTTTTTATGAGAAGTTGCATTTCCCTTTCATCTCTTTGGAAGATATACAGAAATGTATTTGTGCGTGCATGCGTGTGTGTGTGTGTGTGTGTGTGTGTGTGTTCATGATCATGGAAAATGGGAGCAACTATGGAAAACGGCAGGCTAAAGCTTGCCAACATCATTAGCAGCCTGCTCATGTTTGAGACCCATAGTCTGAGAGTATAAGAATGCTCAGAAGGGTGCTCAGGATGGCTTTGCAAGTGCCTCCCTCTCTCTCTCTCTCTCCTCATAAAACAATTTCAGAATTTCAAAAGTATGTTCTCAGTGCTAGCCTACCACAGGCCAGTGTGTAATGAAACTAACTTTACCAAGAATCCTTTTGTGATCTGAACTTCGGAATAAGGGGGGAGACCAACTCAAATCATTTTTAAAATTTAAACTGTAAGATATTTAGCAACACAGACAGTTTGATTATTGTAACATGTTGTCATTAGCATTCACTCATGAATACAACCAACCACCATTTATAGGGTGCTTTCTAAGTAGCGAATGGAATGTGAGGTTCTAGACTGTAGAATCGAGAGAGCCCAAAGGACTGTGTACCCATGACAGGTGGATGCAAGGGGCCGTGGGGACTGAGGCAGCTGCACCTGACGTGCCTGGTAAAGTCCTGTCTTGCTGTAATAGATGACAGAATGATCTGTAATTATTAAATGAAAAGTACAGTCCAAATAACAATGGCCTCCGATTACATTGCAATTTCACTCTCTGTAGTCTCCCAAGGAGATAAATAGTTCTCTCTCGGGTTTGTTTGTACTATGAATGACAAATGGGTGCACTTTAGCAGAACCCTTGTGTAAGCCATCAAGAATTCTAAATCAGCAAAGTTGGAATTAATAAGATTTGACTGTCATTAGACTACCCACAATTTAAAAAAAAAACCCACGCAACCTTGGTGAAGGATAGTTAATCAACTGACATAATGATGCAATAAATATTGCAGAAAACTCTTTCATCCTTGATCTTCATCTTTAGACTTGCTGGAGTCCATTTTAGGACGCTCAGTTACGTTTGAATTTTAGATAAACAACAAGTACATTTTTAGTAAACGTATGTCCCAAATATTGAATAGGACATGGCAACACTCGGGTATGTTGTCTATCTGAAATGCCACTTTCACTGGCTACCCTGGATTTTTATGGCTAACCCTGGCAACCAGATTAACCAGATTCTTAACAATGTTCTGCTGTTTCCTCCCAGCCCAAGTGACATAAGCAGCCCACATGCCAATTCTCGAGTCATTGGAGAGAGCAACACCAAACGGCACGACTTTCAGCACCTGCCCAAGGAAACAGCTTCACTTCCTTGGCAAATATTTATGGCGGCTTGGATGGCATCTTAAGACAAAAGGGGCACGTTTCCACGCCAGGCACTCCAGAGCAAGGAAAACGACAGGGCTCTGAAACCCTCCCTCACGCAGGAAATAAAAGAAAAGCCTCTCAGCCGGGTGCCGAAGGCGCTAACCTTTCTTTCCAGTTCTTTCCTCCTCCAAAGGAGATTGGCAAGCCACGGCCGGCTGCCTGTTTTTGTAAATACAGTTCTGCTGGAGCACAGCCACGCACATTCCTTCCCGGATCCTCTGCGGCTGCTTTCGTGTTGCAACAGCAGAGCCGAAGAGTTGCAACAGAGACTGTTGGTGGCCCGAGAAGCCTAAGATATGGACGGTCTCGCCCTGTACAGGAAAAGTGTGCTGACGCTTGCTCTCGAACCCTTGCTCACTCTAGTTTGTGTACTGGCATCTTTGCTTCCAAACCGTGCTCTCCTTGCTTCTTCCCGTAAAACCCATGTGACCAAACTCTTAAAATCCCGGAGGACACAGTCAGAAAAAAAAAAAAGTGTGGTCACATTCCCTTTTACCTAAACGGACACATTTGCATTCCAGTCAACTATTATGCATTCTTTTTAAAATCCTCTTTAATATCTGAATACACAAACGTGGTTGTAGAACACATAACAGTGTTGGCCTTTCCTTTATGGTTTTGTGGTCTAACTGGTTTTTCTACCACATGAGACATTACCCCTGTTCTCTTCCCCCAGTAGCTCCCTTCCTTCCCCAGGCAGTATAGCCATATGAGAACCAGGAGGGAAATTTAAATTGAATCATAACTCCACTTTAATTTCCCAGCCATAACCAAATTAAACTGTGATTCTTCTAAAAAGCATTGTCTTAGGAATTGTTTTATATGCCAGTGTATATCACCTCTTAGAATATTTAAAACTAAGTGAAGAAGAAGAAGGTCAACAACAAACCCACAAACCCTAACCATCTGCCGGAACCCTGTTGACCAGAAGCCCCAGCCTCCTCCAGGGTGTGACAGCAGCCGAATGGAGCGCCACCATGCTCCCCTCGTGTATTGTGCCGATAGCCTTCAGTGGAAGATCTATGAGTCTGTAGGATCTGATTCTTAAAAAAGGCTCAAGATGACATTGAAATATTCGAGAGACGCTTCAGTTTTGCTCTCGAAAAACAAATCATAAGAAAACCCTGCTAGTCACTGCTACCGGCTACTAATAACAGTAACAACAATAATGATAAAATATAAGCATGCCTTGGAGGCATTATGCACAGTTCAGCCCTGATCACTGGCCAGGCCTAGGGACCCTACCCTAAATATTGGGAATGGTATCTTAGATTTAAAAATTAAAACTTGGCAAGGCTACTCCAACACTGAAAAAACAGGATGATGCAGCGATGACATGCATGGACTCTGGCTTGCACATTTTGTGGTCAGCACTGATTCTGACACAACTGTGTGACAAAACCAATTATTTAACTTCTCTCTACTTCAGTTTTTCCACCCAGAAGAAGGGGAAAATGGTAAAAGTACCTCAGAAGGATCATGTTATGTACTACTTTTTATAATCAGGGCACAAAAATTTAGCTACCCATACAACAGCAAAATGCCTTTCACCTGTATGAAAAGTATGGTCAACATCCCGGATTGGGAGAGGTATGTCCGACTGCCGGTTTAGGCATGTAAACCAGCAATTGGAAATCCCGAGGAGTCCTGGATTGTGAGAAGGCATTGGCTGAGGTGAGGGACCACCCCCACATCCCAATTTTGTGCACCGTGCCTCTAGTTTCTCAATATATGGGTGTATCAAATCATCACAGTGTACCCCTTAAACTTACATGTGTTGTGTCCATTGGATCTCCACAAAGCTGGGAACATGCAGATACATGGCAACAGAAACAAGAAACCTATACTTTCCGGTGAGTGCCTACCTGGTGCCCTCCCATCTACAAGGTCCTGGCAGATTTTCTCTCCAGTCTTCACAACAGCTCTGAGCAGTAGGTGTCACTATCCCCATTTTATCAATGAGGAAGAGGCCAGCTCGCTAGAACAGGGCTCCTCTGAGCTGCTCCTCAGAGTAACCTCCCATCCAACTGCTAGGCTCCGACCTGCAGGAACGTCACTGACTTCACCCCAGGATCCTTTGAAAAATTATAGCTGATGAGCGACCTCCAGTAAAGTTGAAGCGTGGAAGAGAGGCCGTGGGGATCAGAGGAGTGTCCTTGCTCTGGTTAGAGGAGGGTGCTGATGTAATGAGAAGGAGGTGGCTCTGCACCAGAGCTCACCTTGGATTGACTCGCACCTCCAACCCTTCCTAATGGAGACCTTGGGCAAGTTAGCTACCCACTACTTGCCTTAGGTTCTCCATAGGTGAAATCATATTATAAAACCGACTGCACAGATTGTTAGGAAGGCAAGCGAGTGAGTGACAGGTATTCAAAGTTACCCATCTTCTCCACTCCCTTTCTCCTCGTGTGTCACAAAAATGTTTGCCTTCATCAGACTGTTTATTAGGACACAGATGAATGTATTTGTTGCGTCTGGTGCCAACAAAAGCTGGATGACTGTCAGGAACGGAGGACTTTTTCTTCCTTGTGTGGGAGGCTGGGAGGACATGACTTCAGCAGTCCGTTCCCACTCCAGTTTCTCTGCAATGTGACCAAGCACTTTCTCAAAAGCTAACACAAGAAGTCCTGCATGGATCTGTCCCCCTGGAACCCGTCAGCCTTTCCCGGTGGCTCAGCGGGTGGGCAGCCTCGATCGGGTTACCTGGCCAATTGATAAACTACAAGGAGCCCTCTTAGTCGGAGACATTAATGCAGCAAATCAACTTCAGAACAGGATGGGCACAGGACAGTGACGTCAGGAACAAGAAATAATACTTGGAAATCTAATTGGCAGGGAAGGGGAAGCAACAATAACATAACAATAATAAGATGGAATGAATTAACTCATCTCCGTCTCGCAGTCAGGCTGAAAACAACACACGATTCCCTAATATTACACAAGCCAGAGCCACATCCAGCTAATGGCACAGATTATGGTGATGGTTTCATGGACATATGTTTAACTTCAAACTCACCAAGTTGTAGACATTAAATACATTTTCTGCATGTGAATCATATCTCAATAAGTTGGTTTAAAAAAAAAAAATCACACACCTGAATTCAGGTTTTACATAACATTAGAAGGTCTCCATCTAAATCTGTCTCTACACTTTGTGATAAAAAAACAAAAACAAAAACAAAAACAAAACACTAAAAAACCTTTGACGGGAACATTAGGCAGCTCTACAGGTTAGAACAACTTTTAAAAACTCCAATTTGTTTCCTCCCCTATTATTTCAAAACTTTGATTTCATCCTTTGTGAGGAAATTTCCCAGCCACAGCCTCCTGACTGGCAGGTAAGGTATAGGGTTTCCACCTTATTTTACCTAACTCATCAGACCCTAAAAGTTAGGAGTGGCAATAGGGAGAAAAGTTAATAGACCAATGTAAAGTAAGGTGCTGCTTCATGCAGAAACAACCGACTTCTCCATGATCCAATCCTGCACTCTGCTTAGAAAGACCCAGGCATAAGGCTGTCACCACATTTGACAGCGAATCCCTTTAGCAGGTGTCTCACAACAGGATCAGTAAAGGGCTTAAGAAAGAAGGTAATGAGAACCTCTCACCACACTGTTTCATCACATTTACACAAGCAGTGATACAGACCTCCTCCCTCGAGGCATCAGACCCCATCTGCCTGAGGAAAGCTAACAAAGGTACTCTCTCGAGGTCCTCACTAACACCATCATTCCTTCAGTCTACTCTCTGAGCGAAGTATCCACCAGGGTTTGAGTGGCAAAAACTAGTGAGTTGGTGCCTCAAAAAAAAAAAAAAAAAAAAAAAAGTCAATGAATTTATTGCTCTCCCATCCATAGTTATTGGTCTGGTGCTTCAGCTCTGTTGTGTCATAACATACAAGTCAATTACTACATTTGTGTGACACACTGGTGTGACTGGTGGAAGCTACTTGGAGCTGGAAGTGACTAGCTTGAAATTTCTGCCAACAGTGGTGACTTTTGTGACAGAGGAAGGGAGGTGCTCGGGGAGTCTCGGGCCCCACTCAGGGTCCCAAGGTAGAGGGACTAATACTTTGGAACTAACTAACATGCGGCTCATTGTGGGCACACTGGTTTGGAAGCTCAGTCTAGTCTGTGAAACAACCCAGTAACCAACCCTAAATCCAACCAAGCTAACATGAACAACCAACCAAACCTGCTGGACTGTGTTTTCCTGGAGTCAGTCAACTCTGCTTATCAAACTACCAGATTTAAAGCATGAGTGAGTGTGTGAGTGTGTGAGTGAGTGTGTGTGTGTTCTGGGTAACTTTTACTTTCATTCAGTTCCCATGCTCATTCAGCAAGAATGTTTTTAAGCCGAAACCGGTTTGGCTCAATGGATAGAGCGTCGGCTTGGGGACTGAAGGGTCCCGGGTTCGATTCCGGTCAAGGGCATGTATATTGGTTGCGGGCATATCCCCAGTGGGGGGTGTGCAAGAGGCAGCTGATCGATGACTCTTTCTCATCGATGTTTCTAACTCTCTATCTCTCTCCCTTCCTATCTGTACAAAATCAATAAAATATATTTTAAAAAAAAAAGAATGTTTTTAAGTATTAAATTAAGGGAAGTGCTTTGAAGCCCAGAAGAGGAAACAGACAAGATTCTGCCCTAAAGGAAACTGCTGTCCTGTGGGCGAAGCAAGACATTTCTATAACTTACATTTGCGAAATGGATCAAACAACATTTGCAGCAGGAGGTAAAGAGATACTTTCCAGAAGACAGCAGTGAGTGCACTGCTATGGAAATAGGAAAAGGAGGAACAGGAAACGTGTCCCTCTGGCAGGCGGCGGGGTCCTGGGAGAAGAAAGCACTGATACCAAGTCTTAAAAGAGTCCTCCAAGGGCTCACGTAGCCACCAGGGACTCAAAGCAGAGGAAAAGCAAGTGAGCAAACTCTCCCCCCATTCAACATGGTAGTCTGTAAGCAAAGCTCTGCTAAAATGAATGAATAAATAAATAAATAAATAAATAAATAAATAAATAAAGGTGGGGTGGGGTCTGGGGTAATGGGAAAGAGAAGTTTGGAATGACTAATTAAATTAACATGTCATGCAGAAACCGGTTTGTCTCAGTGGATAGAGCATTGGTTTCGCTGGGGGGAGGGGGGAGGGGGAAGGGTGTGTGTGTGTGTGTGTGTGTGTGTGCGCGCACGCGTGTGTGTGTGTGTGTGTGTGTGTGTGTGTGTGTGTGTGCCAGGTTCGATTCTGATCAAGGGCATGTATATTGGCTGCGGGCACATCCCCGGTAAGGGGTGTGCAGGAGGCAACTGATTGATGTTTCTCTCTCATCAATGTTTCTAGCTCTCTACCCCTCTCCCTTACTCTCTGTAAAAAAATCAATAAAACATATTTAAAATAAATAAGTAACATGTCACAAGAGCTCTAAGATGGGTTTTTATTGCTTTTCTCACCCCTCCTTAATTCAGATAATTGACAGCCTGAGGAACTGTTAATATCTTCAAAAGCCACCTGCTCCATCTATGGAAAAGGGATTCTGGGTCACAAGTCGGTCCCTGTGCTCACCCTTCAGTGGTCAGCCTGGACATCTCCCTTCCCGAGGAACTCCACGGGCGAGGAGCTTCAGGCTGTCACCAGTGCCAGGCGCTGAGAGAGTGGGGCCACATCCGGTGGAACCCATGACGGTGTTAGCGAAACCCATTTCTGCAATACCCAACCCTTTGTGCCTCTCGTTCCTCTGAATGCTCGGCAAAGCCACGTGGCCACTCGTTGTTTCTAAGCTGACATGGTTTAAAAGTCACCGCTGCAAAGTTGAGCCCCGGCAACCCCACCTCCTCTTGAAAGAGGAAAGGCCCATAGCGCCCGCATGCAGGAGGGGAGAGCACAGTGAACAGATGCTGCTGTGAGAACCCTTTAATTAGAGGCAGAACACAGAGAACACGGGTGCTGACGTCAGCATCCAGGCACCTCACATAAAGACCAGCTATCTCAACACAAGCTTTCCAGCACTGTGAGGCCCGAGTTGTACATCTCCTATGTCTACCTCTCCATTTCCCTGAGCGATCCCAGGAGGGGAAGGAGCAGGCTGAGAAATGGGCGAAGCTGCAGAACCAACGAGGTGGCTGAATCTTCCCTCAGGATAGCAAGAAACTGGACCCTGAGGTCTGGGAGAGCCGGCTAAGGCACAGAGTGTGTGGAACACTTGGAAAAAAGCGTGTCAGTCACTGCTGCAACTGCACCAACCGGCCCCTGACACAAATGAGCCCACCGTGTCACGTCCTTGAGACTCATTACCCGAACGAGCTGGTGAAATCTATCAAAGAAATGGGTGACCACCTAACCAACTTGTGTAAGATGGGGGCCCTCGAACCGGCACTTCAGAGCATCCCTTGGACAAGCACACCCTAGGAGGCAGTGATGACAGCTAAGCCTTACGCTCGCTGGCTTCTCCATAACCACGGGTGACTTCCCTGGTCCCCACAGCGGTGCATGCATGCATGTTGGGCTCACTATTACCTTGTCTTGAAGCTGTTACCCAAACATCCACTTAAGTTCTTTCATGTGAATCACCCTTTCAAAAAAGTGATTTGGTGCCCTCCCCCAAATGAAATAAAACAAAACTGTGAGCGCTACCTGCCGTCAAAGAAGAAAAATTTCCCGCGTCCGTTCTTTTCTCCGTGGACGAAGTTCCCCTCAAATCTGTCTGTGGAGGAGTAGGTGACTGTGCAGAACCCGTGCGGCAATCCATCGTCATCCAGGTGCCCTGGAGGAAAGGAATCAAAGGCCAACCTTACCATCTGCATGTGCCCCCATGGATACATCGGAGCACAGAAGCGGCCAGCAAGACCCCTGAGCAGCCAAAGGGTCCCTTCCCTGCTCCAGGGGAGAGAGCAAAGCCTGCTCGCCTCGCCTGCATCAGCCGTATCGACCTGACTGTTCTGTGCCCTTTATGAATGGTGGGTCTACAATGGAGGGACTTGGACTCATTCAGATGTGAACTGAAAATAAGCTTGTCTTTTCGCGGGGACTGGGCGTTCTTACCAGTCACAGAGTCTGCAGTGCCTGTTCTGTTCACCAAGTACTTCCCCACCCGGTACTTCTCAAATTAGGAATGAAGGCCCCCAAACTGATGCTTAGCCAACATGTAGTTGAGATGACACCATTTGGTAGTCTATTGCCAGGTACCCTGTCCCTGCAATGAGTCTTCTAATGCTAGAACTAGTATTCAGTACGGTTTTATATGTAATAGGGTATGAAGTGGAGGGCTGCTAGTCAAGGGGACTTAGGAAAACCCCACTGTGGTTCATTACATTCAAACAAGGGACGTGGCTATGCCTCTAAAACTGCCGGGATGTTTATATGCCTCACTGTGCTAACATGGGAACGGAGTCCTTCTAAGCTTGAACTTAAGCTTAACCTTGAACTTACTGCTTCATTTTACAAAATCTTCCAGCCTTGAATGTTTAGTAATGACCTTGCCATGTCTCCTCTATAACTGTGTCCAGAGGGCGTATGTTTAAATGCAGCTAGAAGCAGCCACATGGCCATTTAAGCAGCGATCATGAACATCCCCAGCAGTTCTGATACTGTGATCTCTAAAATGCTGGTTCTGCATGGGTCACAGACTGCTATATTCTAACATTTATGTTTGTAGTCAGTGTTTAGGATTTTATGATTATCTACATATTTCACAGAATCCGGGAGTCCCCTCACTTATGAGAGTCTCCCCAGTCATTCTGGTGAGCTGGTTTTGCCGAGGTGGGTGCAAACCAGGGCAGTAATTAACCTAGTGGCTTTTTCGTGAGTGAATGACCTGGGTCACGGATGAAGAGATACAAAAGCATTCAAAACTGTGGGCAGTGCATGGACATTAAACACTCAAATGTGGCTTCCAGATGGCTCACAGGCATAAAAGAAAGCACAAACCATATCACCACAAAGAACACTTTAGTCTCCTAAAATGATTTCTTCTAAAGCGATAAAAGAACATCATCGCTTGGAAGAGATGGTAAGTAAACACCCTTATAAAAAAGCAAAAAGCTCTTTATTTTTATTGTATTCTTATGTAAGCATAAAGTAACAATGGACAAATATACTATTTTATTTCTACATCTGACTCTGCATAGAATGTTACTGAAAATGTATTGCAATAAAATGTGGCTACTTAAATAAATCAGAGTTATGTAGTTCTTTTCCACTCATACAGGTTTTTTTTTTTTTCCTACCAAGGGCCAGGAAATTAATGGTCAGGAGGGAAATAAACCATAATTACTTTTTTTTGTTCAAAACCCAACTGTATGTGACATAATTCAATGACACCTGAGCCATGTAAAACAATTTGGAAAATTATCTTCTAAATATCTACTGATGACATTTCTCTCATCAATATAAATTAAATCTACTTTTAAAATTTTCATTAAAAAACAGGTACAGCTAAACACTTTCTTTTATGAAATAATGTTGGGATCAAATTCAATTTAGCTATTCACATTCCTATGAATCCAGCAATTTATTTTTGATGCAGGTATGAACACTCATTTTAGTCTTGTATTGAAGTATTTACTAATTTTTTTGAATACTTTCTCCAAAGAAACAGTTCACATATTTCAGACTTTCAAAAGTTAATCTTTATTATTCTACTTTAGATCAAGAGAAATATTATGATAACCATGAACATCGAGGGGAACAAAACTCCCAATGTAAATTCATTTCCTCCTTCCCTCAGTCACAGTAGTCCTGTCCTATCTATATATATAAAAGCCTAACTGACCATTGCAACTGAAACAACCGAACAGACAACTGACCAGGCTGCGTGGGGTGACCAGCATAGTAGGGGGATTAGGGAGGGACCAAACAACTGAACAAGCAAGCTGCATGGGGCATCCAAGTTGGCAGGGGGGGAGGGGAGTTGGGGGCAACCAGGCCAATGGGGGGGGCAGTTGAGGGTGACCAGGCGAGCAGTGGGGGCAGTTAGGGGCGATCAGGCAGGCAGGCAGGTAAGCAGTTAGGAGCCAGTGGTCCTGGATTGTGAGAGGGATGTCCCCGACTGCCGGTTTAGGCCCTTGATATTGGGCCTAAATCGGCAGTTGGACATCCCCTGAAGGGGGTCCTGGATTGGAGAGGGTGCAGGCTGGGCTGAGGGGACCCCCACCCTTGCACAAATTTCGTGTACCAAGCCTTTAGTTTCTGAATAAAACACTGAAGATGCACCATCAGCAGTGGACTTTAGATAGCAGAGAAGATGGAAAGTGTCATGTAACACACTAAAAGCATTTGCGGGTCAGTACTGATCCCAGTGGGGATGGAAGTAAAGGGATCAGCCTCGCTCCAGGAGGGCTGCTTGTTTCAATGCCTCTTTCGACAGGTCAGTGAAGAGGGGTCCAGGCACCTTGCTAGGGAGAGAGGAGCTGCTGAATGACGGTCATTTCTCCGGTGGCATCAGGAGGTGCTTGGACACCTGACACTTCCCCACCATTCTAAAGGGTTAGGTTGCTTATTGTGATCAAGTCCTGAAACTCCCTGTCAGCCCATGGCAGGACCCCTGGTTGGCCTGTTTGTTGTTTTCTCCCGGAAGGAGGAGATGTGGTTAATGAGCAGGATCAATGAACAGGAGCTAGATATGAAAGGTTGTCAACATTTAAGACTTCCACCGTGGATGTTTAATAGCCAGAAACTGTTATCCTCGCCGTAGAACTTAATCTATAAAACACCAAGAGCAGCAAAGAGACTTTCCAAAGAAAGAAAGGGACTGGGTTGCTGCGCCTCACCTCTCCTTCTCACGTCTGGAAAGAGTCTTGTTCGGATGCCGTCTGGACAATAGAGCAGGTGATAGCAGTCTTGTTGGTAATAATCAATTTAATGGAGAGGAAACTGATGCCCAAAGAAGGAAAAAGTCTGTGTTCCTCACTCTGCATTTGGCATTGGGTTATGTGCTTTCCTGTTACCTGAAGTGAACCTCATGACAATTTCCCAAGTGCCCATCCGGTAGTCGAGAAAGCCAATGCCATGTGGCTTGCCCAGGAAGCACATGGATGGCTCTGAATACCTCTTCCCCAAATCTTTCCATTCCCTTTCTCTCTCCAAGTCTTTCCACTCCCTTTCTCTCTGGATAAGGGAAACTACGGTAGCAGAACCCTCCCTCCCCACTGCCCTGCTTCCCTGCTGATGGTGGAACCAGGCACCTCTAAACAGGTAGGTATGCCCAGGCCCCAGGTCCCAGGTCCAGCAGGGGAAGGGCGTTTGTTGTGAAGATAGTCCTTGTAGGGCCACCAGGACTTGCAACAGCATTCCTACCCCTTCCAAGTGTTCCCTCACTCAGAGAGAAACACCAGTCCTCCTTGCTTTGGGCGAGGCTGATTTCTGAAACGCGACAAGCCAATCAACAGCCTTCCAGGCCGGTGCCCACTAAACGGAGGCTGCACAGCAGGCCAGACAGCACGGGAGAGTCCCTGGGATGACTGCTCCGTGCTGACAATGCTGTTCCAGCTCCTGTCTGCAGTGCGACTTAAAATATTTATAGAAGTGAGAGAAAGGGGGGAAACGCTAAGTCTCACATCTTTTTTACTTTGTTCTAGTGATCACTCTCTACTGAATGGATAGAAAGAGAGATTTTCCCCCCTGTGAGTTACCTCTGAGCTTTCTCCTTATCCTGACGAGAACCAGGCCTGTCTGTGTTCTGTGCTGTGATGGTCCATCATCTGGGCAAGGCAGACTCCCTCGGCATCAGACACTGGGCTGCTTCTTGCCTCAGGCTCACTCACAGATCTGAGAATGGGGTGTGTGTGTGTGTGTGTGTGTGTGTGTGTGTGTGTTTCCCTAAGAACAAGAAACTCTTTCATGCATTGTTGGTTTTTTAGACTAGAACTGCTGACACACAAAAAATAATAATAAAAGGCAAGCTTATTCTAGTCAGTGCAGAGGACGTGCCCTCATGATGATGCCTTTACCCTGGCTGTTGAAACATAATTTGATTTTTGAGAGTAATTCTTTACCAGAGCTCAACTGTTAGTCATAACATTATAGCATGGCCACAGGGAGAGGCCTGGTACACGGACCCCACATTTTTCCTAAGCTTAGAGCATGAGCTTGAGAGACAGGCAGGAGATGTTAGGGGAACCGTTAAAATATTCTTGATGTTTTGAGGGGCTTAAGGCAGTGCATCACTGAGATGTTTGTTTTCCTTCTGGCTCCTTAGTTCTGGAGATTCTGTTTTCCCCCTTTTGTCTTCTGTATGTTTCCAGGCCTTTCCATTTTTTCTTGCCCTCAGAAGTTCACGCTGGGATAACTGCAAAGAGCCCTGTAGGTGATTCCCACAGCTTCCCACGGTTTCCTGCTCAGTCCACGCCCGTGGCCGGTGACTCAGCGCCTTTCCTGTTTTACCCTTTGCTTTTGTCCCGGGCCCTCTGTTACAGCAGAACCAACTGGTATGTCTCTGGAGGTGCCTGCATACTCCCTCCCCTCTGTGTCTACTCACAAAGTCCCTGCTCAACTGGACTCACCCACACAACCACCTCTCCGGGGGCTCTTTCCCCTCCATCTCCTTCCCGGAGCCAGATGTAATACTTCCTCTCAACCACCGTCATTCATCTGTTTAGATATATTCATTTGAGATTATATCACTTCCCACTGAACCAGTGAGTCTCCACGAGATTTTACAGATGCACAGCAGGAGCTCGGGGGTCTGGCCTCCGAGGCCCAGGGCCAGCTGCCTTCCCTGAGGAGACAGCAGGGCTGGTGCACAGACCCACAGAGACATTCCACCACCCTGGTCCCCTCGGGAATCCACCCCCTGGGAGCTCAGCACTTCAGAGCCACGGCGCTGCCGTGACAGAGAACCGACCTGTGTTTGATGTGACAAAAGACATGTCAAGTCCTGAAACAGACCAATTTGCTCCCCAGAAGAAATTTCTTCAGAGGAAGAAAAAGGATGTCTGTTGCAGAGTTAAGTTAAATTTTCCTTCCCTGAATACATTTCCCCCCTGAATGTCACTAAACCCGATCAGAAGCAGCCTGAAGAGTTACTACTGACAAAGAGTGATACTGACATAATATTTAACTGTTGCTTCCAGGCCCGGTTCCCAAGTATTTCATACATTTGATGACTCATCAAAAGCAAAAAATATGACAAATTTAGCAAGAAAGTCAGGTACAGTGAAGAGGGGTTCTGGAGGTCCAAGCCTGTGTTGCACCCTCCTGGGTGGCCTTGGATTAATTCTTAACTTCTCTATGCCTCAGTTTCCTCCTCTGTAAAGTTCAGATAATTTTAGTACCCACCTCATAAGACTGAATGTGTGTGTGTGTGTGTGTGTGTGTGTGTATGAAACATTCAGCACAGAACCTGCAGAGTAAGAACTAAACAATTATAGCAACAATAATGATGATGGTAATTATAATAATAATGATAGCTAAGACAATGAAACTACTGAGAACAGAGCTTTGTTGATGGAGAGGTAGGTTAGTTGGTACTTGAATACCAAGATATTCAGACTAGCTTTATGCCAGTTCCCCCTGCATGTGCAAGATGTGAAGTAAAGACCATAACAGATGCCACTAAGAAAGCCAAGGATGGCTGGAGAAAAGCCCGCTGGTGCAATGCCCTGTGTGTGCACCCGTACACTCTGGACACTGTGCGAGTTTGGGCCTTAGATGCCTCTAAGGACTTTTACAGATTCTGTGTTACTCTGTTTAGTGTTAGGCACAACTGAGTGATCATGTGCCCTGGGCTGCCCCAAATGTTCACGTTATCCCAGCCTAAGTATATACATATACAGGTTTCAGGGATCAACATGATCATTCATCTGTATTCACTACAGAGTGATCACCCCCCAAAGCCTCATTGCTACTGGTCACCATACAATTGACCTGCTTCATTCCTTTCCCCAGCCCCCACCTCCTCACCCTCCCGTAACCACTGATCTGTTCTCTGTAGCTGTGAGTTTGGTTTGGTTTTACCAGCATAAGTATTAAAACCCTTTCATTCTCAAGCATTTCCTGATTTTGGAGAATAATGTGTCTGATCACCCTATTAAACAGAACCTTCCTTGTTTAGATAAAGAACATTCTCTGTTCCTATGAATTGCACAAGCTCAAAAACAACACCGCTATATTTCTTTTTTCTTTTTAACACTGCTATATTTCTGAAGTTGCTTGTTCACAAGGAGCCTGGGGACCATGGACTTAGATTTCCAGACAGCTTCAAAGGAGAGTTGTTTAACTTGGGGAGCGCAGCCCGTGACCAAGGGTTTGCATTAAAATTTCACAAGCACAAGTAAAAGTAAACTTTAAAGAATGAGAGTAAGCCCTGACAATAAGAGAAGAGCATTTTTTTCCTGTTTATCTTTCATAACAGGAAGGCACAAGAAATCAATAACTTAAGTTGTAAGATGGCTTCCAATGGATGGACTCAATGTCTTTGGGCCCCATTGAGGCCCAACACAGACTTGCTTATCAGAGAGATAAAGAGATAAAGTTCATAATATTGTGAAATTAAAACAATAAACACCCTTTTGAAGGTGGTAAAGAAATATGTCTTTTAAAAAAAGAAATATGTCTTAATACCCTGTTTCCCCAAAAATAAGACAGTGTCTTATATTAATTTTTGCTCCCAAAGATGCACTAGGTCTTATTTTCAGGGGATGTCTTATTTTTCCATGAAAAAGAATACGGTACACATTTATTGTTAAATGAAAATAAAGGAAATTTATTACCTGTATACGGTACGGTAGTACGGTAGTTGTCAACACAAACCAGACAAACTGTGAATCCTACAGTATCAAGAATTTACTCATTTATTCAATGACAATCATGTCATCATCTTCTGGAACATCATAATAACAATCCAATTCTTGAATTTCCTGGTGAATTTCTTGTGACTCCATTTCTTTCAGAATCAGTGGACCAAATCTCTCATGTTTAGCCTGGGGGGGCCTTATTTTCGGGGGATGCCTTATATTTCACTCAGAAGCAAACCTGTAAATAGGTCTTATTTCGGAGGATGTCTTATTTTCGGGGAAACACGGTAGTTACATTATAATGGATACCTTTTAGAAATTTCAGAAATATTATTCAAATCCCATCCCAAGACCTCTGGAGCACTGCAAAAGGAGTCAATTGTGTCATATGAAAACAAAACAAAAAAAAATTGGAGTTCTCACTATCTATAATAATAAAAGCTTAATATGCTAATTAACCAGACAGCAAAGGACCTTCCTGACATCCTTCTTGGGGTCCTTCCAGATGAGCTGGGGCTGCCAGGGCCGAATCCCTTGCATGATTTTGTGCATCGGGCCTCCAGTGCAGCAATAACTTTGTGTCTTTATGCATGTACAGTATTGCCACTTTGTTTTTCTTTTCCATTTGTGAGGATCTGTTTAAACAAATGAGATAGAAACCCAATCCAACCAAAAACTAAAAATTATGTACTTAGAAGCTTACTTTAAAATATTCTGGGTTCTAAAGTTTTACAAATATGTCTACTGCATATGTATGAAAGAAAAAAAAAACATTTTTAAAATAAAAAAACACACACACACATATCCTGGAATTATACCACACGGCATGACAACACATCACGACATACTGGCTAGGTAGAATCAAATAAATAAACACGCCAAAGAATATCTCCTAGTATTCACGGTTACAAAATCCTAACATCTCATGATACAAACAACGAGATTGTATAACATCCCCACGTCGCTTTTTAGACCTAGCCAAAGAGGGGGGAAAAAAAAAAAGAAAAAAAAAAAGAGGTGGAGAAACTCGGCAAAACAAAGTGGCGAGGAGAGTCGGGGCGGGGCTAGCGAAGAAGGGGCGGAGAAACCCGACACCCAGGCGGTGAGATCACCCGCAGCGGCCGCGCGGACTCAGAAAGTTCAGTGTCACCGGCAATCCGGGGCCGGCGCGCGGCGGCCGCTCGGCAGCGGGAGGGGGAGGGCGCGGTGCGGCCGAGTTCGCTCGGGGACAGCGAGGGGAGGGCCGCCGCCTCCGGGTCGGCGCGCGCTCCAGCCCCGGGTCGGGAGCGTGGTCCCCGGCCTGGCGATGATTCCATCTTTTCAGAGGAACAGCCGCCCGGGCCGCGGCTGCCACGTGCCTGGCTCGGCCCCGTGCGCCGCACCGCCAACCCACCCGGTCCCCGCGGCGAGCGGAAGGGAAGGCTGCTGGCGGCTGGAGAGGGGCTCGGGGTGGCCACACCGAGCCGGGGCATGGCTCTGCGGAGACCGCGGGTCTCGGGGGGCTGTCGCCATGCGCACCCCCACCTCCCATCCCTGAAAGGTTGCTAAGGCCGGAGTGTGGGGCACCGCTCGCAACTCCGAGGCTGGGCTGTGGGCTGCGGGCTGGAGCGGCCGTGCTCTCCCGGGAGCCCAGCCGGGCCGGCCGCGCGGGTTCCCGGCCTGCGCCCCGCCGCGCAGGGCGCGCTCCCGGCGGTGGCTGTCCGCCCGCGGAGGGGACAGCGGCGGTCACGCGGGTCACCCGCCGCTCCTTCCGCGTTCCCTCCCCCGATCCCCGGACAGAGAGATGCCTGTACCTTCCACTGCCTCCTCCACCATCTCGTCGTCGCTATCCATGGCGGCTGGGGACGCTGCCCAGCTCGGGGCCGCGCGGCTGCCTCCGGTCCCTCCGGGTGCTCGGGCGGCTGGGCGAGCGCTGGGGCTGAACCCTGCGAGTTTGGAGGAGGAGGAGGAGAAGGAGGAGGAAGAGGAGGAGCAGTCGGGGCTGACTCGCACTGCCTCCCCCTCTACAGCCCTTTCGATTCCTTGGCCTTCAGCTGCCGCTGCCGCAGCCGTCCCTCCTCCCTTCGCCCGCTGGGCCCTCGCCTCCGAGGCTCCGGGGTGCCGCCGTGGCCTCCGCCGCCGCCGCAACTTTCTCCGGCGATAACCCGTCTTTGTTCGCGAGCAGCTGATCCGCTGACATCACCCGGCGCCGGGGCGCTCCCTCCCGCGCTGATTGACAGCTCCCTGTCCCTTCCCAGGAGTGAGGCTCCTTAGAGCGGAGGGCGCTCCGGGGCCGCGCGCTCTCCGCGCCCCGGCCGGGCGGCCCCCTGGCCCATCGGCGTGTCCGCGGCTCCGTGCGCTCCGGGCGCGCCGCGCGGTCCTGGGGTCCTGGGCGTCGAGGGGTCTCTCCCTCCCGGGCTCCGCACCCGCGACCTCCAGCTGCGCGGGGACCCTTGGAAGTTCGCCGCGCTGCGCCTGCCGCCGGCAACCCCCGCCCCCGACAGACTGCAAAGAGCGAGGGACGCTCCGGCAGCGTTTCCGACGCTCCGGCGCCTCGACTTCCTCTCGCCCACGTCCCCGCTTCACCCCGTTTGCCACTCGGAGCCGCGCGAGTGCAGCACGCGCGGGAGCGCAGGTGCTCCGGCGCCGCCGCCGCATCGCATCGGGGCGCGGGCTCCCCGGGACCAGGGGGCGGCAGCCAGCCCCATCCCTCCTGCCTCCGGGCTGCGGCGCCCACCCCGGCGTGCCCGGGCCCCACCCTCCCCGGGGCCGCCGGGCGTCTCGGTGATCCGGAAAGCCGGCGAGTGCAGGCGGCCGATGGCTCTATGTCAGGCGGCCGATGGCTCTGTACCGGGCAGGAAGCCGGCCGCCCGGGAGACCCACTGCTTCCTGCTCGCCGTGTGGTCCTGGGAACGGACCTGGCGAGGAAGGACCCCCGTCCCGCACGCCTCTCCCTCCTGCGCCTCCCGCCCCGAACCGGAGATGTCTCCAGCTGTCACCTGTTCCCCAAGTGGCAACCATGCCACAGATTCGGGCTCTTGCAGTGGAGAAGGTCACGGGGCACCCGGGTCCCGGACCAGGCGTTCCCTGTGGCGTTGTCTCTTACAGGTGGCACGAAGGGCGGCCGTCAGTAGCTGCTTAAATGGATGCAAATGCACACAGTGTGCCGCGGAGTGGTCCGGAGCTGCTCTGGGCACCTGCCAAGAACAGCGACTGCTCAGCGGAGGGGGCGGGAAAGCGCAGGGAAAGTTGTTCCATTTTGTTTTCTGAACAGGAGACTTCAAAGTCCTTCCAGCAGACGGAAGGGAGGCCACGCCTGGCTTTTGGGCTCTGTGCTTAAAGGCCAGGTGTTTTTATCGAGTCCTGTGAGTTTCTCCTTAAATTCAGTTTTCCTTTGTGAAAAAGAGAACAATGTTAGGGACATTTGTTCCATACACTGCCAGGAATTTCAACCTCTTTTGACCGTTTTTAGAAAGACAGGGAGTTAGGAGACGGGTGCTTGGTGCCAGCCCGAATTCCTCCCCAGGAAAAGAGGCTCGGGCTATAGGACTGGGATGAGGTCCCCTCTGGCTTGAGCTAGACCATAGGAGGTCCCCAAGCTTAGACTAGACTCCCTCCTTCCCCCCCCAACTTAGTCTACACCTCTCTGAAATCTTCTGGCGAAAGTTGCACCTCCTTAAAGTCCATCGTTTTCAAATAAGAACCACAGAAAGAGGGTTTTAGTTCAGATTTTTAAAAGGAGCACGATGTATTGAGCTTGGTTACTCACTGGTTTTGAGTTGTTTTTTTTTTTTTTCTTTCTTATTTCCCCTTTTAAACATACCATCTCCTACCTTATATATGGCACTGATATACAAACACACACCAGATATGCATCTTCTTTCTCTGTTTCCAGTTTATTTTCAGGATGGGGGGGGGAGAGAGGAGAAATTATTCGAAAGCTAAAAGGAAGCAAAAGTAATGTATTCCTTTACTAAAAGGGTGCTGAGGCGGGGGCAATGTAGGTTGGAAGAAATCTCCCCTCAAAACACACAGGTGAGGCACAGAGACACCAGTTCATGGGGGGGGGGGGGCAGGAACCATGTCACAAGTGTCCTGCTCCTATCTGTGGGTCCCGAGGAGGATGCCCAGCTAGGCCCTCGGTGCCAGAGGATTCCCAGCCTGCACTACACAGCCAGACTGCCCAGGGCTTCCTCAGGACACAAGGCGCCCTGCACACAGCCAGCATAACTGAAGCCGGCCTCCTCTGGGCTTGTCAGGGGTGGGGATTCTTGCCAGGTCGGGCACTGAGGGGACTGAAAACTCCCTGAGAACCTTCATCAGGTTATGCCTATGAGGCAGGCATTGGCCAGCACGCAGGCCGGCCCTCCTTCAGCCACCGTTCATCGGGCTGACTCTGGGCCCCAAATGAAGGTAAAACTTTTTTAGGACTCCCTTAAGATACATTTGCATTTTCTGCAAATCATTCTGGGTATGTTTTCAGTGCCTTTCTCTAGATGGGCTGATTCTTAGTTAAAGCCCCAGCACCCAGCCCAGTGCCTGGTGCAGAATGAAGGTGAAGCACTGTCGGTGGTGATGATGCAGAGAGGAATATTGCTTGCTATACACAGCGCCGGGTCCTGCTCACAGACGTGCTTTGTTTTAGCTCAAGTCGGAAGAAGGTTTTTTTTTTTTGTTTTTTTTTTTTAGCTGTTCCACTTTCTCACATCTACTGGTCCCAAAGCTGCTTCCATCGCATTCTTTCCCACAGTTTTCTTCATTGAGAGCTCATTTTATAAACCCTCTTCCCACTTGGCTCCCCGCCATTTTCCTCTGTCTACTCTGTCCCCACCAACGTGGCCATGGGCTAGAGAAATCAATAAAGCTCTTAATCACAGGGGGTGGCTGCAGCTGCCGCAGGGCCAGGGCTGAGCTCCGCACTCAGCAGGTCAATGAGCTGAGCCAGCCTCCCCCGGAGGAGCGGCTGCCTTGCCAGGCCCGGGTGGGACTTGTTCCACCTCACACTGAGCGCTGTGCTTTGCCTCCTCTGCATCCTAGGATGCATTGCTCTCTTCTGGGGCATAGAGAAGCGTAAGTCCCTCTTCCACTGCATGTCATTCCCCAGAGAAGGCTGGGGCTTACTTATAAGGCTGACATAATGTTTTGGCAATAAATATTTTTATAGGCATCTTGGATTTTATACACCTTCCTACATTTAGGGGAAACAATTGGCAATTCACTACGATGTGTACTGGCAAATTGGGAGAAACCTCGTGAAGGTGGAACTTGTGTGGAATTCACTAGTCCTGTTGACTTCAGACCCCTCGTACCACCCAGCTGATAGGGGCCGGAGGGGCCAGCTGGTCTTCTCAGTCTCCAAGCCCCTGGAAGGTGTCCCATGGACCTGTGGCTGATGCCTCTGGTCTGCTTTGTTTGTTTATAATGATGGCAGGGGACAAGGACAGAATGAAGAAACTCTTAAATAACCATCAAAGTTCATTTTGGCACTGCTCATACCTTAACAAGATTTTTTCCCCACCAAATTCACCAATTTGATTGTGTTACATCCTATTTGTGTCGGTTTCTCTGAGAATGAGCCATATAACTGGTCAATGAAGCTCTCTGGACCTTAGTTTTCCCATCTGGAAGTGAGGAGATTGGGCAACAAACATTCTAAGTGCAAACCTGCTCTGCCCACCATTCCTGGGAAAGGCCAAATGGACCATGGAGAGCCCCAGCAGGGTCAACTCCCATAGTCCCCTCAACTTAATGGCACTGAGATCTGGGCGTGAGGGAGGGACCCTCTCTTATGTAGAGATCTGGGCCTTTCAGAAGAACCAAGGTCCTTGGATTCTGAAGCACCGAGTCACAAATCAAGTGGCTAAGTGTGTTGGTGCCAACTGCAGAAGCTGGAGGGAGGGGCGGAGAGGAGCAGTGAGGAGCAGGCTGGGGGGAGGGGGGTGTGGATGAAAGGAAAGCCTTTATAGCATACGGAGCACAGTGAAGAGCAACCTGGAACATCAAGGGCACCAAATAAAGGTCTGAGAGCAAAGGGAGAAATGGAGAAAACGCATTCTGCTGGAAATAGACATGCCTGCAGCGGAGACGAGGATTCAGAAATTCAGGGTGACCTGATTTGATTACAACAACAGAAAGTGCAGGAGAGAAAGGGAAGAATAGCTGGACCTGAGGAAGTGAGTGAAATAATAGAGAAGACATCATAGTTACCATGGCATTAAAACACCTCATGCCACATCAAGCTTCTTTTTTCTCCATTCTTGTTCTTGCAACATGTTAATGTCCTTGCAGTCTCCCCAGTAAACGAAATGTAGATCCTTTGGGCACAGAGGGGAGGAAGACGCAGATCTCCCTGGCGGGGTCCACGTGGGCACTTATTCTTCCTCCGAAGAGTGTCTCGTTCTTTGGTCTTGCCATTATGAGACATAAAAACCTTTGCTAGGCTGGGGTCTGATGAAACTGCTGGGAGATGTAATTTGAAAAAAATAAAGAAAGAACAATTGGAAATGATTTTTTTAAATAGATATTTTATTGATTTTTGTACAGAGAGGAAGGGAGAGAGATAGAGAGCCAGAAACATCGATGAGAGAGAGTCATCGATCAGCTGCCTCTTGCACACCCCCTACTGGGGATATGCCCGCAACCAAGGTACATGCCCTTGACTGGAGTCAACCAGGGTCCCTTCAGTCCCCAAGCCGACGCTCTATCCATTGAGCCAAACCGGTTTCGGCTGGAAATGATTTTTAAAGAGGCAATTGCTTTAGAAATTACTGTAGAAAAACCAATAGGATGCAGATAGTTGAAAAATACAACGACCATCAAAATCAAATGTGTTTTTTTTTTTTTAAGTATTCTTTTAAAAAAATTTTTTTGTTTTTTTAAAAAAATATTTCTCTGGGCTATAATTAAGATTACTGCTATTGGTCAGATGAAAACGCCAGTGTTGCAGAAGGTGGGTACACTGTGTATTCTTTTGATACTTCTGTACAGAAAGTGATTTCCAGCTGATTTACCACAAATGTCACCACATTCATCAAGGTCTAGATCTTGACCTTCTTCAAGTGTACTCACATTAACCAGATCCCAGAGACTGGTGAACATCCCTGAATTATGACAGGCATACATGTTGTCATGGCAAGCATAGTCTCTCTTTGTAGGTAAATGTACTCAAGAAGACAGATTCCATCCAGATGTTTTCTTAGTTAGCCTGGAGTTAGAATAAATGAACTAGTTGTGTGGGCCACAAGAGAAATACTCCTGTTACAATGTCCTAAAAGAAGGCTGCCCACCCACCCCACCCATCCCTGCTTAGATGGCCCAGTCCACTTCTGAGACTTCGGGCTTCGTTGTTTTTTCACATGTTCTAGTCTGTTCAAACTGGTTTCTCCACCTGGCATCCTAGATAGCCAACCAGGCAGACTGACACTTTTAAAGTCACAATCACATCCTGTTTCTACCTTCCTGCTATGACAGTCAAGTCACTTTGCTGAGAGTTTGGGGTAGCTCCACATTCTTCAGTCACAAATCCAGTCACTGTCTTGGTTTATTGTCACTTAATTCTAGTCAGATCCATTTTGCTAGTCTAATTTTCTGAGAGTTTGATTTCCAGTTGGGGTAAAAAGCATCCGATCGGTATTTCTCTCTCTCCCTTTCTCTCTCTC